ATTTGGGAAAGCAGGGAGATAGATGGAGGGTGTCCAGCAGCCCTGGGGTTACTGCAGAACACTGTAGGTGGACTTGCAGGTTACATGATGCAGAGATTGGTAGAATCCAGTTAAGGATTTCCAGGAAATCTCTTTCTACTTCATATCTAGAGCACCTAGAAAATGACTCTCGGTAGTTAATGAATTAACAAAGGTCATTCCTCAACTTCTTTGCATCGTTTTTTCCAGAAGAACACTGTGCTGCCAATATTTAACCACTGGTGTCACATTTGGGCATTTTGCTCAGAAGGATGTGGTGTTTGCATGGCTCATGGCTGTTGGATTGCCCTTGCCATGTTCAAGAACCTCAAACAGAGAGAAAAATTAATTTAACTAGAGGTCGAAAGGTCTCCAATAAAGACTAAGCCTCGCTGTTATTCTGAAGCCCAGTTTCCATTAACTCCCTTCAATGCTGATTCAGAATGACAAAATGGAAGGGAATGCTGGGCAACGTATGTTCTGTTGGTTACAAAATCACTGCTGATCAGCCGGGAGATGGGACTGCCATAAGAGCGTTTACTGCTGCCAAGGAAGGTGGCTTTGGCCAGGACACGTGTAATAACGTGTGGTGGTGGTGACAGGTTAAAAATGAGCCATTGTGAGGCTCTGCATGAGGATAGGTGTTTGGTATTAATGATTACCGTGAATAAGCTAACTGGAAAGGGGCTGAACAGCAAATGGTAGAGTTCATGTTGACCTATTGGTGACCTGACCCCTTTCCCGCTCACTTGATGCCCAAACCTCATTTCTGGCTGCAGAGCCATCTTGCAGCTGAACACAATGCCTGGTGGGGGCTGTGCCAGCCCAGCTGGGCTGCCCATGGGCTGTGCAGGGCGATAAGAGGCTCAGCCCCTGCTCCGTGGGCCCATTCCAGCAGCGCTGAGCACTGCCAGCCCCTGGATGTCCAAACAGCAGCTGAAGGAGCTCCCAAAGCAGAGGACGTAGCTGAGTGTCTCCTTGTATAAATGCAATGGATGTGGCTCAGATCTGGCTGCACCTGAGAATGGCTGCGATGTCTTATGATCCACTCTGCCACCATCTCCCTCCTGTCCCCTTCCTGCACGGATGCTGCCAGTGGCCTGGGATCTGTCACCATTGGGGAACGTCTGTGCTCCTGCTCCTACTGCCCAGCACCTAGACGTCCTTTGTGAGCCCCAGCTCCCTTCTCCACTGGAAACAAGGTGGTGTTGGGCACCCTGAGCCAGATGGCCCTGCTGGAGCAGGGATTGGGCCAGAAGGACCCAACCGCAGCCATTTTGTGCCTCCTTCTCTTATGTTCTGCTCCTCCAGGATGGCCCAGTATCTCCCCACAGGCATATGTTGGTAGTATTTACTGATATTGATAGTCCTTTCTTTCCTGATTATCAATATTTGCTGGTTTGTTCCCACCAATCTTTAGGAAATACCCAGGAAGCAGGCATGAAAAGATCTCCAACAGCTCCATGATTCCAGCAGGAATCAGCCCACCGTGCCTTCCTGTGTTCCTTTCCCAAAGCTCCCAGGACTGCATGGAGCTGCTGGTAACCCTGTTAACCTTTGGGTTAATCAAGCAAACCGGAATCCTTCATTAGAAGGAATGTCACTAATTACATAGCTGAGGAGCTAAGAGAGCACAAATCACTGCTGAGCTCAGCAGTGGGGCTGGGGGATTGCTGGAGGCTTGGTTGAGAGGAGGCAGCTTCTCCACCAGGAAAACCTTTTTCTCGTCAATGCTGGGCATTTGCTGGAAGGAGAGCATGCACAGGGTTAGGGTTAGGGTCATGGGGCTGTGGCACTGTCCTGCAGAGATACTGTGCAAGGTAGGAAGTGTTGAGCTGCTGGTACCTCCTGGTCAGGCCAGCATTAGCACCTAGCCAGAAATGCAAACCTGTACTGGTATGACACGGTAAGCAGCTCTGGGCAAGAGGCTACAGCCTGCGGCTAGGCTTAGTGCTCTGAGCCACAAAGAGCTGCTTAAAGTGGACAGAGGGCTCTTTGTTTGCTGTGTGTGGTTTAGAAATTAAGCAATATTTAGAAGTAAATATTGATTCAAGCAACATCTGCTCCCACTCTCCACTGGCCAGTTTGGCTCATCCCAGGTAGAAAACAGCATATTGCAACACAGCCCAAACCTGACACCAAGCATTTCTCCTAATCAGTGGGGAAATAGGTTCATGGCACGTCCTGAAAATAAACTAACCACACTGGCTCTGGAGCTGGAACACAGACTCAAAAGTGGCCTCTGGGTCCAAAGAAGTGTTGGGAGCATGTTTCTGGAAAGACTGCAGGGTGTTCTTGGGGCATTCGTCAGGCACTGGGAAACCTCAGTCACTGCTGGGCACAGACACACTGGCAGGGCTGGCACTGCTGCTGGAACCCTGTGCTGACTTGGGAGTCAAGCAGTTGCCTGCTGAGTGCCAGGCTGTGTCATCTGTCCCCCCTGGGCTACCAGCAGGGAGCAGGGAGGGAGAACTGGAAAATGGGAAGGGAAGGGAAGGGAAGGGAAGGGAAGGGAAGGGAAGGGAAGGGAAGGGAAGGGAAGGGAAGGGAAGGGAAGGGAAGGGAAGGGAAGGACTGTGGAGATGTGGCACTGAGGGATGTGGTCAGTGGGCATGCTGGGGATGAGTTGGTGATTGGGCTTGGGGACCTTAGAGGTCTTTTCCAATCTTAATGATCCTATTCTATTCTAAAAATGCATTCCCATCAAGCTGCCCTCCTGGCCTTTACCTGCTGTGACATGACCTGTGGACAGCACAGGATGGAACTGGAGCCCAGCTGCTGGATCTGACCACGTTGGTACCTTTGTCATGGGCAGGTTCCAGCCATGGCTGAGACACAAACTACATATTCCCATCTCCAGAGGGAAACAAGCCAAGCGCTACAGATAAACCTGAAGCACTGGCGTATGCTGCTCTTTGCCCTCAGCCAATCTCACCATGCCAGCTCCAGCTTCATCCCAGCCCAATCACAGCAAGCATTCTTCCTCAGGACACGGCCAAAACTCCAATCGGGTTTCAACCACAAACTACAGCATATCCATACGGAGTCAGGGGATGAATTCTTTCCACGTGGAGATGTAGAAATAAGTGATTCTATTTTGCCATCGTTGTTACCTAGCTTGGGTCCAAGCCCAGTTCTCCTGGAGGTGACATGTGTTTGTGTATTGCCAGTGGCCTGCAGTTGGCCAGAGGGTGTGTTCATTGGTATTTCTTCATCCTTCGTGTAATTTTTAGCAGCATCTTCTTTCTGAAAACAGAACCATCAGGATGTGCAGTGTTGCAACAAAATGGATTTGTGATGGGCAATAATATCCCAGCATGTTTCATGAAGACATCCTGGAGAAGACCTGATACTTCCTGAATAACAAGGCTGGAGTCCAAGAAGCACTGCCTTACCTCTCCTGATCAAGCAGCTCCTGCTTGCATGCGGCTCAGCACTGACCCCTTACCTTGGAAGACAAGAATTTTCATCAATAATAAGAATCAGTTCTGCTGTTTAATCTCAGTTTATTAGACCTCATATGAGACATGGGAAGAGCCCTCCTTTGGCACAAAACTGTGCAAGCTGGCAGTGAGTAATGCATGTAAGTAGAATGTTGAATCGTGTGCCTATATTTATGTGAGAGAGTGGACTTCAGACAGGGCAGCAGAAGGGAAGGCATTTGGCTCTTTGCATTCTTTGGTGGAAAGTGCTCCTTGAAAAGGATGCCTTGGAGACATCTGGGTCCCTTAGGGAAGATCCCAAAAGACTGGGAGGTGCCCCGTGGGTTCCCTAACCATGAACTTAAAGCAAAACAGTACAGGCTTTCCCAGCAACTTCTCCTCTGTTGTTTGAAGCGCTCCTTTATGTTTTCTGAGCTTTCCCCTGTGTTGTAACCACTCGGTTTGTGGAATCGAGATCTCCAGCTCAATGGAATAAATAAGGATGGGAGATTCCAGTTTTTAAAAGGGAGGAAGGCTGTTTAAGAGTGGCACTGCCTCGCTGTGGGGACAAATCATTTCCCCTCCTGCTTGTGCTGTGTTCAGAGGAGCTCTGGACATGAGAAACATTGCTCTTCTGGGAAAGAAGGAGATGAAAGGATGCGAAATAGGAACCAGCCACACTGAGGGAACTGCTAAAGATGCTGCTGCCCCAGTGCACCTCCAGCAGCCACAGTGGCATGTCTGGCACGATCACAGTGTGTGATGGATGGTCATTGACAAAGGTCTACCAGAGGCCCCCTTCCCAGGGATGTGGACATGGAACCATGCCATGACCAACACTGGGACTGGCTGCCCCAAAGCCACCTGCCCTGCTCCAATGCGGAGTGGCACCCAGCTCTGTGTGCTGGTAGAATCAGATGGAGAGGGTCTGCATGAGAAGAAGGCTCTGAATTCAGCACTTCTTCCAGGTTCGACGACGACTTGAAGAAGATGAGGCGCAATGCTTCCTGCTGGCTGCAGGCTGCCCTTGTGCTGCCTGGCTGCTCTGCTGGCTTCCTCTGCCTGCACAAGTTGCTCTCCAGCCCATCTGCGAGGGACGTTACTGCCTTTGGATCTTGCTGCCATTGCCAAGAGAGTGAAAGGGAAAGAGCAAGCCAAAGGGTGCTGGGCACAGCAGTGAGAGTTACTGGCAAACACGTGAAGCTCAGTGCTGGATTCAGCGGGGACTTTCTGCAATTAGGCTGTGCGAGGCAGGGGGTGGCCAGACAAAGAAAACAGCCCCTCCCGCAGCACGGCAGCCTGCTGGGGAACTTACATGTCACAACTTGGGAATTTTCCATTTGAAGCCCCTTGTAAAAACAAAGAGCACCTTGCCTGCTCCAACTCCTGGCTGCGAAGGGTTTCAGTGCCAAAGAGTGAAAGGCTTCCTAAAAATGGGCTGAGCCAGGAAGGGGGGCAACTTGGGAGCTATTGAGAAACAAGGAAGGACAAACAGTGTTAGGTCATTGCTTCTGCAAACACTGCCAAGGCTGCTCCTCTATAAAAGGGGAAGAAAGAGGCTCCGGAGCCATCACAGACCCAGAGGGGACGGTCTGTGACCAGCACTGCTGCTCCCCCTCCTCAACCCAGCTCCCTGTCCCACCATGAAGCTCATCCTCTGCACCGTGCTGTCCCTGGGGATAGTGGGTAAGTGCCCATGTAAAGCAGTGGCTGTTGGGAATGGAGGGTCTCAGCCTTGCAGGAGGCTCTCCCCTCAGAGCAGCTATTCTGCAGAGCTGCAACGTGTGCCAGACCAGGCAGAAGCACTGAGAACCTGCCAGATGCTTCCGTTGGCAGCTCTGGGTATCCGCACATGAGGATGCTGGGCTGAGCTCTAAGGAAGCAGCTCGGCAGGGAGTGAAAGAAGCATCCATGCATGGGGGGAGAAACCAGCACAGGACCCCCCCTGCCACACCTGCTTGTGAAACCAGGCTCCAGGAGGACCCAGGGCAGCCTCACAAAGCACATTAAGGCAGCTTTGTGCAGCCAAAACATGAAAACCGTAGCTTACAGCCGTGGGAATTAGGGCTTAGAATTCCTCTTTGTGACCACAGTCAGTGTGGGAGGGAGGGAGGTATCTGTGGGAAGAATTCTGCCTCCAAAAGCCAGTATTAGAGTATGTTTCAGAAGTGAAAAGGAAAATGCAGACAGCATGGGTTAACCAGAGGATGAACAAAATGTGCCATCAGGGTTCTAGAGAAGGCAAAGGGTGCATCCAGGGGCTCAGTCAGGTAGGTGCACAGCTAAAGGGAAGCGTGAAGCACAGGCTGCCCATAGTGGTATGAGACCTGCTGTGTATTTTATTTGTACTTTACTTGCACTTTATCTGCAAGATTCCTGTGTTTCTAGTGCCTAGACTGCTGAAGAGGGTGAAAGTCTGTGCTCTGATGCAGTCTCTCAGAGCAGTGATTACTGCTTGGGGGGACTCTTACAAGAAGAGTTTGGGTGAAGGGGACACAGTACTGCTGTCATTGGGTGTGCTGGTGGAGATGGGAAGTGCAGAAGTGTATGCATCCCATCACCTGCCAGGGTAATGTGCATGGCAATGTGGTGAATGCAGTCTGCCCAGACCAGAGCTGCTGTCCCTCTGGAGCTATCTGCAAAGAGACTGCTTCAGTGGGACTGCATTTTCTTTCTGCTTTTGCAATGTGCTTTGAGTTTGATTTCTGCTGGAGCGTGTGGATTTGTTCTCCTGCTCCTGTGGGTGCTGCTGAGAGCTTAGGCTGCTGGGACTGCAGTGCTGTGTCACCCAGGGGCAAGGGGGTCCCAAAAGGAGACCTTTGGAGGGGGGGTCCTTTGGAGGTATGCAGGGGAGGTTCTGCTGTTCACCCAGGGCCATGACTGCGAGGAGACAAAGATACTGTTTGTCTTCCCCTGGTGCCTTTCTCCCTCTCTGAGACTATTTGTTTTCTGTTTCCTTCTTTTTGTTTGATTGTTCTGGTTCTCCCCACAGCTGTGTGTTTCGCTGCTCCCCCCAAGACAGCCATCAGATGGTGCACCATATCCTCTCTAGAAGAGAAGAAATGCAACAACCTCAAGGACCTCACGCAACAAGAGAGGATTACATTGACCTGTGTGCAGAAAGCAACGTACCTGGACTGCATAAAAGCCATTGCGGTGAGTGGGCTGCCAAAGCCTGAGCTGGGCCTTGGGGGCTTTCAGCATCCCTTGGAGAAGGGGCTTCCCTCCAATCACCACCTGCTGTAGGGAAGGGCGCATCCATGGGGGTCATAGAATCACAGTGTCACTAAGATTGGAAAAGACCTCAAAGGTCATCGTGTCCAACCCCAGCCCACCCCATAATGCCCACTGACCACGTCCCTCACTGCTACATCTCCAGGGATGGTAACTCCAACCCAGGTAGCCTGTTCCAATACCTCACTGCTTTGTCTAAGAAATTTTTCCTAATATCCAACTGACTGAACTCTCTTGATGTTTAGAATAACGAGGCAGATGCCATTAGCTTGGATGGCGGTCAAGTGTTTGAGGCAGGCCTTGCCCCATACAAACTGAAGCCCATTGCTGCTGAGGTTTACGAACAAACTGAAGGTAGGTTTTCCCATGGCGTTTTTAAGTTGAATGGTGGTAGCAGAAATGCACAGCAAGAATGTAGAGAGGCATAATAGAGTTCTGCCACTGATACAAGTTAGCTCTGTTTCTCCATTCCTCCCCTTTCTCTGATTCTTTTCTCTCCCCATTCCTCTGATGTTTCTCCTGGGAGCCAGATGGACACTATTTCTCCATTTCTGCCCTTACTACCTTGAGCAATGCCACATATCTAGGGCCCCCAGTCCCTTTTGACCTCTGTTCTGGAGATCAGCCTGTTTGTACACAATGTTTGGGATCAAAGCAATGCGACCGAGTCCTTTCTGACCATTCCTAAAGCTCAGCCACTTTATTAATGTGTAACGTGACAGAGTCGGTGTCATGTTAAAGGCTAAATATGAAACTTTAGAATCACAGAATCATAATCAGAGAATCATAGAATGGCCTGGGTTGAAAAGGAGCACAATGCTTATCCAGTTCCAACCCCCTGCTGTGTGCAGGGTCACCAACCAGCAGCCCAGGCTGCCCAGAGCCACATCCAGCCTGGCCTTGAATGCCTGCAGGGATGGGGCATCCACAGCCTCCTTGGGCAACCTGTGCCAGTGCCTCACCACCCTCTGTGTGAAAAACTTCCTCCTAATGTCCAACCTAAACCTCCCCTGTCTCAGTTTAACACCATTCCACTTTGTCCTGTCACTGTAAGGCTTGCATGCTTGTTTTAGTGGGCAGCACTGTTTGAGGCAAGACCTACCAAAGAGTTGCCAAAAGAACTGTTGAGGTCTCACAGTCTAATGTCTGTGCAGTGACATGGCATATTTTGCATGGAATAGCATTTTCAGGTCACTATTTATTACATGTTGCAACATGCAGCGCGGGTTGCATATTGACATTGCAGCTGGGAATATGGGCAGACCACGAGCACTACTTGGAAGTGCAGCTCTTCATTCTGTAAACCCAGAGCTTTGCCAGGACTCGAAATGTTCTACATTCTTGCTTTTTCATCGTTTTCTCATTTCTTCCTCCACTGCAGGCTCCACAACCAGCTACTACGCTGTGGCTGTTGTGAAAAAGGGAACCGAATTCACCGTGAATGACTTGCAGGGCAAGACCTCCTGCCACACAGGGCTGGGCAGGTCTGCAGGCTGGAACATCCCCATCGGGACGCTCATCCGCCGTGGGGCCATTGAGTGGGAAGGCATAGACTCAGGCTCAGTGGAGCAAGGTAAAGCGAGAGAAATGGGCTGATGTTACTTAGGGGGGTGGTAAGCTGGAAGCAGTGTTGCTGGATCTTCTGCAGAAGTTCAGAGGCAGCTCGCACAGCAGACAAGCCATTTCCTGGGTGTCTTCCCCTCCCAGGTCATTGTGGATGTGAGTTTTAAGATGATTATTGTGTGTTTCTCATCCACAGCGGTGGCCAAGTTTTTCTCTGCCAGCTGCGTGCCTGGTGCCACCACCGAGCAAAAACTGTGCCGACAGTGCAAAGGGGACCCCAAAACCAAGTGTGCCCGCAATGCACCTTATTCTGGATATTCTGGAGCTTTCCAGTGAGTGGACTTTTTTTCCATTATGACAGGCAATGCTGTGTTGTAACCAGGGGCTGAAAGCAGCTGGGACTGCTGTAATTAGCAGTCCAATTAGTAATTACTGGCAGGCATTAAGATGAGAGTGGGAGCTCAGCAGTTCTGTTTTGCACAGACAGGAGTATGCAGCACTAGCACTGTGCTAAGCCTAACTGCGTTTCTTGAGGAATACTTCTCTGCCAGCATAACTTTTTTTGGGAAGACTGCTTACTGCTCTATGATTGCAGCTCTAGCCGAAGCAATTTGCTAAAACAGGAGCTAGGAAGCCACAATGTCTGTTCGTTGTTGGTTTTTTTAACATCTCTTCTGCTTCCTCCACCCACAGTTGTCTGAAAGATGGAAAAGGAGACGTGGCTTTTGTGAAGCACACAACTGTTGAAGGTGGGCCTGTGAATCACTGGCTTCTCTTCTTTCCTGTCTGACCTCTTGCTGCCCCTCCATCCTGGCATTAGTCTGCATTGTGCAAACCTTAGTTTGTCCAAAACCTCCAGTCTGTTCATCTTTGACCCACTGGATGTGTTACTGAACGAACTCATCCTAGTTACTAAAAAACACGATTGAGGTGGGGTCCATTTCTTCTTTGGGATTCTTTGCAGAAGGAAAACCTGCTGTATTTAAATTCAGAAGTTACAATTGGTGCCACATTATAGAGATAGCTATAGCATTGCCACAGCAAATGCTCTGGGCTCCGTCAGTCTGGAGAAGTCTGTGCAGTCTCCATACTTGGAGACTTATTGCTGTTGCAAAGAGCAGTGTGCAGCTTGTCTCCTGCCTTCAGCAAGAATCAGTTCATTACAATGCTGCCCCAGGCTGGACTTTTGTGTGTGTATTTGTGTATTTTGGTGGAGATGCAAGTCGTTGGTTCTCCTCTCCCTCCAGAAAATGCCCCAGATCAGAAGGATGAGTACGAGCTGCTGTGCTTGGATGGCAGCCGGCAGCCTGTGGACAATTACAAGACCTGTAATTGGGCCAGAGTGGCTGCTCATGCCGTTGTAGCTCGGGATGACAGCAAGGCTGAAGATATCTGGAGCTTCCTCTCAAAAGCACAGGTATCCTCCAGCTCAGCTATCCTTCCCCTGCCTCCCCCTCCTCTGCCCTGTGTGGTTTTGCTTGCTCTTTCCCACTTTCCAACTTCTCTGGAATGCTACTGGCTCATTCTTTTTCTCCCCTGTCAGACTGACTTTGGCGTGGACACCAAGAGTAACTTCCACCTCTTTGGGCCACCTGGAAAGAAGGACCCAGTCTTCAAAGACTTGCTTTTCAAAGACTCTGCCATAATGCTGAAGCGCGTCCCCTCGCTGATGGATTCTCAGCTCTACCTGGGCTTTGAGTACTACAGTGCCATCCAGAGCATGAGGAAAGGTGGGAATGGCCTTTTTTGAGTCTGGAGAGTATTCTGCATCAAGTATTTCCTGTGAAAGGTATTGGCTTGTGTGGGTGGAAGGGAATTGGTACGCTCAGAACTGCTGCTCAGAATAGCTGTTTCTGGTACATAAGAATACAGTATCAGAAGGAACATCCCAAGACATCAAGCCCAGAATTGACCATATGAGAGCAGCAGGGCGCTTTGCTTCCATCTGGACTCACCACACATTTCCAAGCTGGTTTTCTGAGTCAAAGGTCCTGCAAAGGACCTCCAAAAGCCACTTAAAATTCATAGTTTGGCAGAGATCGCTGGTGTAAGATCAGCCACTTTGGTGTTTGTGGAAGGAGATGCATGGACTTCACGTAGCATCAGAAGAGATTATTCAAGTACTGCCTCACAGAAATGTAGGTTGTGCTTCTCCATCTCTGCTCCTCATCTTGAGACTCTTAGGTCAGGTCTTCTCATTCATGTGCACAAAGGATTTCATAGCGGAGCCCTTCTCAACCCCAAGCCCATGTGATCTGTGATTCCACAGAGCTCTGGACTAATTATTTCTTCCTTATTGACCTGATAGATCAGCTGACTCCCAGCCCCAGAGAAAACAGGATCCAGTGGTGTGCAGTAGGCAAGGATGAGAAGAGCAAGTGTGACCGCTGGAGTGTGGTGAGCAACGGGGACGTGGAGTGCACCGTGGTAGACGAGACAAAGGACTGCATCATTAAGATCATGGTATGGCTTTTTTCCCTTCCTTCAGCCTGGGTTCCTTTCAGATGGAGAGTGGCATTGCCTTTTTCAGCCTGGGAATAGATGTGGGGCAGGAGTCTGCAAATGTAGGGGACTCTGTGAGAAATACCAGCAGGCAGAAACCAACCTCATCATGGGGAAAGGGCTCGATAAACTTTTCAGGGATTTACATTTCTGAAGGTGTTCTTTTTTGGTTTCTCCCCATTAAAAAGTAATTTTCTGGTGAGAAGCAGCATTTTACTTGGAAAAGGAAGATAACTATGCTAAAATATAAAAAGAAGAAAGCGAGAAAGAGATATTAAGTTCACATAAAAACAAAATGGTTGTATTGGCCAAGGTTTTTTAAAAGAATAATTAGTTGAGAAAGATTATTTAGACTGACTTGCTTGGATCAGTTGTGCCTTGACTGAAGAACAAATAGGGCTGCAGGATCCCAAGAGGGAAATCTCCTGCAGTTAGTATGTCCCCTTCCCAGTTGATGCTGCCCAGTAGGGCTCTAATGCCTTGTCTCTGCCAAGTGCAGATATGGTCTGATGGGTTGGGCCTGACAAGTCTCCAAAGTTTTCCCTGTTGTCACATCAGACAGGACTCATTTGTCTGTATGCAAAGAATGGCTTCTCAAATCCCTTGCCCCCAGCTTGTCGTCCTCCCACCACGTGCTGCTTTTATGATCCAGTTTGGGGAAATAGTGTCATTTCATCACTGTGCAATTTTTGCTGCAGAAAGGTGAAGCAGATGCTGTTGCCCTTGATGGAGGTCTGGTCTACACGGCTGGTGTCTGTGGCCTGGTGCCAGTGATGTCAGAACGTTATGATGGTGAGTGCAGCCCCACAGAGGGGACAGGGCTGATGCAAAAGCACTGCTTTCATTCTGAAATCCAGAAAGCCGCCTTGGTGATGTATCCCAGCTGCTCTTTGTTCTGTTGATGCACTTGATACTGCCTTAAAAGCCAGCTGAGCAATCAGTGAGCTTGATTCAGTCTGGGATTTTATGTTTCTTTTGTCTAATATCATCTTTTTCCTTCTCGCAGATGGAAGCCAGTGTGGCAGAGCAGAAGCACAACCAGGTAATTAGTCCCAGCAGAGGAGCAGGAAATAGTCCTTTTGGATAGAAGTAGAAAAATACATCTGCAGTCATGGGTTGAGAATACATGGCCAAGACTCTACGTAGAGTCTTGTGAGAACCACTGTGTGCAGTGTTGATGTTAAAAATCTGGGTGGCAGATTTAACACACGCATGGAAATTCTGGGCCTGCTGATCGAAGCAAAGCATCCAGTAGCTGCAGAGATTTGTGTGGAGTTGTGGCTCTCTGGAGCACGGGCACACCATGACTTAGCCATGAGCTGCAAAAGGGAAAGGGGGTCTGAAGCCTTAGGGAATTGCTTTTTATAGAAATAAAAGCCAACAAGAGGGAAGATTTCATCCTTTGCTAAAGGGCGGATGTGAATTGGAGAGACATGCATTATATATATCTTGCTACAGCCTTCTTGCAGAGCCATGTGCCAGAGTTTTAGTGGGGGAAAAGTGACAGGGATAATGATTTCCCAGGAGTGCTGTGGGAGTAGATGTATCACATCTGCAAACCATTCTCTTGTTGCTACATGGCTAGTCCTTAATAAGCACAAAATATTTCTGCTATGCTGCACATAGATGCCCTCTGCCGACGCTCTGCTAAGAGAGAGCAGTGGGACTCTGGGGTCAGGCCTTAATTCTCCTCCATCTTTCTCCCAAAAGCATCATATTTCGCTGTGGCTGTCGTGAAGAAAGGCAGCGATGTCAACTGGAACAATCTGAAGGGCAAGAAGTCGTGCCACACCGCTGTGGGGAGGACTGCTGGCTGGAACATCCCCATGGGCTTGATTCACAACAGGACAGGGAGCTGCAATTTTGGTGAGTCGGGGTCATGCATCTGCTTGTCTGAGATGGAAATCCACGAGGAAAAGTGTTTTGCCATGCATCCTCTGATTTTCAAAGCTTCTCATGCCTCGAAGACTCACTTGGAGATGGAAAATGAAATGAGTCTGTTACTTAAGACTTCAGTGAGCAAAGTTTCAGGCTGTTGGTGACTGCTTGCAAGCAGGATGCAGTGCATCAGCTGCTTTGGGGGGGCTTTGCTTTCTTTTCACATCTCTCCCCTTCCTCTTTTGGCAGCCCAAAAAGCATTCCCCAAGTAGGAGGACAGGCTGCTCCTTGTGCAAAGCACAGGATGGGAGTGAAGGATGGATTTATGAGTCCCTCAGGGGCTGGGCGTAGGGAACAGAGGCAGATTTCAGTTCAAGAATCTTCAAGGGTCTGATATGACTCCCTTAAGAACAGTGGGTGAAAAGTCTGCAGCTCAACTTCTACGTCCAACTTCCGATCAGTGAGAATTACAGTCCAACAAAAATAATGTTAAATTATGAACCAAGGAAAAATAAACATATAATTATTAATGGGAAACGTAACCTCAGGGACCTACTGGTGTTAGTAAGCTTTACACAGCCTCTCCAACCTCCTTTCTGCTTTCTCTATGGTTCCCTTTTTCCCCTGAGCTCTCAGATTCCTGCCAAACATAGCGCGGCCCAGAACGTGCTGCAAAAAGAAACCCCAATTTTTCAGAGTAGAGAAAGTGAATTTCTCATATTCCTGCCCTCAGATGAATACTTCAGCGAGGGCTGTGCTCCTGGATCTCCTCCTGACTCTCGCCTCTGCCAACTGTGCCAGGGCTCTGGGGAAATCCCACCAGAGAAGTGCGTCGCTAGCAGCCACGAGAAATACTATGGATATACTGGAGCTTTACGGTAGGTGAGGGTGATGCTCAGGTAGTGCTCAGCCCCCTAAAAAGAGAAGGGGCCAGAAGGGTCAGCTGTGGTTCTGTCTCCTGGTTCCGTTCTGTCTGTACCGACACAGTTACAGCTCAAGTCTGGGTAATTCGGATTGGGCATGAATTTAGAAAGGCAATTAATCTCGTTTCGGTTGCATCTAATAGCGGAGAGATGCTGCAGGGGTGGAGTCACTTTGATGCAAGCTTGCATGGCTACTGAAATGTGCACCTCCTCTCTCTGTACTCCACAGGTGTCTGGTTGAGAGGGGTGATGTGGCCTTTATCAAGCATTCCATTGTGGAGGAAAACACTGGCGGTACGTGGTTGTCCTATTGCATGGGGCTTGGTGGGCTGCCTGCCCCATCTGCGTTCTTTCTGTTCCCAAAGCATTCATTTTGGATATACATTTATTCCAGTGGCCTATTAACCACAGCCCCCTGCCCATTGACTGTTCCTGAGTTTTACTTGCATCCCTTTCAGTACACACAGGGTATCCAAGGGTCAGTGCACACCAGTGCGGGGACAAACACTTTGCTGGTTGCTGTCAGTGTGCTTCTGCTACACAAGATCTCTGAACCTCCAAATCAATTCCCTTCATAGGCAAAAACAAAGCTGAGTGGGCCAAGGATCTGCAGATGGACGACTTTGAGTTGCTGTGCACTGATGGGAGACGGGCAAATGTTATGGATTACAGGGAGTGCAACCTGGCTGAAGTTCCGACCCACGCTGTGGTCGTGCGCCCAGAGAAAGCAAAGAAAATCAGTGAGCTGCTGGAGAGACAGGAGGTTGGTGGTCCTGACAGCGGAAGGAATGTTCTGGGGTGGTTTTTACATCGTGTGTTGATATTTTTAGAGCAGTGATGCTCTGCATTTCACGTCAGCAAAATGTGGAAGATTTTGACTTGCCGATACAGGGTCAGAGCCTCATCCCTTAAGCTTCCCCTTCCTCCATCCCTCCTGAACCCCCCCCTTCAGGCAGGTAGAACGGCTCCCCATGACAGTGGTCATCATGCTGAAGAACTGCTACTGAGAGGCTTGTACAAGCCGAATCTTGCTTTGTTTCTACTTTTTACATACGCTTACCTCTTTGTGACTTTATTTCAGGAACGGTTTGGAGTGAATGGAAGTGAGAAAAGCAAGTTCATGATGTTTGAGTCTCAAACCAAAGATCTTCTGTTTAAAGACTTAACCAAGTGCCTGATGAAACTCCGCCCAGGAGTGACATACAAGGAGTTCCTCGGAGATAAATACTATGAAGGGATTTCCAGCCTCAATACCTGCAACCCGTCAGGTAAATGTAACAGCCTCAAAAAAATGTCACTCAATTGCAGTGCTTAGTTTCAGAGATATGAACAGTTAACTCCTGTTGCTGCCCATTTAATTTCTTAATAGAAAAAAAGAGGATAACACATGAAGCTGTCTTTATACTTTTCTCAGAGTTTCTTGAGCTAACTGAAGCCAGGTTGGAAATGTGTTACTCTGGCATGAACGAGAATGAAAGATTTTTCTTGCCTTTAGAAAACAGGCAATCTGAGAAGTAGTATAACAGCCCACTGTGTCCTGTTAGCGTGCACTCAGTGTCATCTGTGGTTAAGGCCCACGTCTTAGGTGGGATGCTGGACATGTTTCCCATGCTGTGACAATGTTGGCATGGTTGGGTGCGTGCTGGTGGGACAGGAGTGTGTTGTGTTTTCTGTTTCAGTGCAAGGTCTGAACTTCTCCCTGTCCTTTTCCTTTTCAGATCTCCTCCAGGTGTGCACCTTCCTTCAGAACAAGTAACGGGAGAGAAGGGCCCTTTTTGAAGGGGGAGGAAACTTCGTGCCATGACTCCTCTCATGTCCTCTGCACGGAACACTGATGTACAGAGGGCCCTCTGCCATTGCTGCTTCCTCTGCCCATCCTCATCACTCTGAATGTGGCTTCTTTGCTACTGCCACAGCAAGAAATAAAATCTCAACATCTACATGGGTTTCCTGAGATTTTTCAAGAGTCATTAAGCACGTTCCTTCCCCAGCACCCCTTGCTGCAGGCCAGTGCCAGGCACCGACTTGGCTACTGCCATTTGAGGTTCCTGCTGCTCATGAGAGAAATCCCGCTCAATATTTTCCAAAGCAAAATGGATTAAATATGTCCTAGATCCTAATTAACAGATGTTTTGTATTACCTGTGCTTTGGTTTCACCTAGATTATCCCCGTGTCTCCCCAGCGGTCAACAGCTGCCCACTGCGGTTGGGATATGGGGAAGAGAGAGGGTGTTTATAAGAGGGCAGCTGAAGGGTGGAAAAGATAAACAACAACAAAAAGCCCACAAAAATATAGTGGAAAGTGTGAATGGAAGTCACTCCACCTCATCTCTCAACTGGCGGGACAGGAATGGCGCAGCAGCAGTTATTTCCACCAAGCAATACTCTCAAAAAGCAGTATGTATAGTTGAGGAGAGTCACAGATTGAACCCACAAGGTTGACTGAGGCCAACCCGCGGCCCCACGCAGCACCACCCAAACCCGATGTCTCACGGCGGTGTCCCAGCACTCCCTGAGCTCTGGCACCAGGGCCGTGCCCGCTGGAGCTGTGCCGTGCCCACCGCCCCGCGCTGCACAACCTCTCCCTGCCCCCAGCCGCCCCTCCCCAACGCAGCCCCACGCCGTTCCCTCAGCGCACAGCTCGGCGCTGCCCATCCGTTCCCCGTGAGGAGCTGCAGCCGCCACGAGGGGAGCTCCGCTCAGGTCCCGTGCTCTGGGCTGAACAAACCAACAAACGCTGGCTGCTTTCGGACAGCCTTCCATCCTTGCCCCTTTTTCTGACGGACTACAACTCCCAGCAGACCACGCGGCGCAGCGTGGGGAGATACCGGAAGTGGCGTGTGAAACCGGAAGTAGTGTGGCGCGGCCGGAAGCCGCGCAGTGGGGACGTGTGCGTGCAGGCGATCATGGCGGGTGCCGTGGAGCCGTACTTGGACTCGCTGCGGCGGGAACTGCAGTCGCCCGGCCCTGCCGCTCTCTCCGTCCTTCTTGCCCTGATCGTCGTCGCCCTCACGCTCCGTGAGTCGCGGCCCGGCCGGGGAAAGGCGGCAGCGGGAAGCGGCGGGGGCTCAGGCGCTTTCTCCTCTCTCCCGCAGTGCTCTGGAGGCTCGCGCAAGGCGCAAGGAGCAGCCGCAGGGCCGTGCTGCTGCTGGGCCTCTGCGACGCGGGAAAGACGCTGCTGTTCGCCCGGGTAAGCGCTCGGTTCGGCCGCGTGCTGCGTTCACGACCCTCAGTGTGCAAACGGTTGGCTTTATTGCTGGTATTGTTTTCCCCTGTGCAGCTGTTGACAGGCAAATATCGAGATACGCAGACCTCCATAACTGACAGCTCTGCCGTTTACAGAGTGAGCAGCGACAAGGTGAGCAGGCAGCCGCAGCGCTGCGCAGTGCTTCAGGTGTTGGATGCCACCGGCGTTCTGTGCTGGGGCTCCCAGTGCTGAGCTGCGCTTATGTCTCTTGTGCTTTGCAGGCTCCCAGCTGGGAAGCAGCCCTTGCTCGGCCCCTGTGGTACAGCTTTCTGTTAGTGCACAAGGAGAGGGTCTGACGTGGAGTAGAAAGTAGGTTTGTGAAGGAAAGAGCCTCCAGCAGAGTTTCATTTGGTCCCCAGGGGGGTTTGGTTACTTTCAGACCCTGGTTTATTTTTGGTTTGTGGCAATCATTTTAGTTTCAGAAGCATTTCTGTTTCTTGCCGGGTGCACACGTGGCAGTGAAGCACAAGGTGGCAGCATGGTGTCTGCTGGTGAATTGTGAAAGTAGAGGATGCTTTTCTGCCTTTTCTCTGGTGATCTTTATTAACAACAGTAATAGCAAGAGATTAAAAACAGTCAGAAGGTCTGCAGTTCTTTTTCAGTGTCTCTGGGACTGAGCAGGCAGGAGATATTTTGAGGGAGAATTGCTGGGATGCTGTGACAGGCTGCTGCTTTTCTGATTGAAAATTTCTGTTGAAACACAAAAGCAGCCCAGAAGACAGGGCCTTACAGAACATTCTCTTCCCCCTGAGTAACAGCAGGTGTTATCCTGGGAATGCTGATGTGGCCCTCAGTGGCTACATCTTGACTAGGAATCTGTGAGAGGCATTTGTTCTCTTTAACATCGCTGTTTGTCTGTCTAGTTGCCTGTAGAAAGGGAAATATTTACTGTTTTCTATTCAGAGAGCATCTTGCAAGGCTGTTCTTGTGTTATTTCCAGCAAAGTTTTGAGTATTTAGGTTGATTTGCAGCTTAAATTCAGATAAATTCACATTCAGAGATTGTGGGGTTATCATTCTGCGTCAGGGATTTGCAGAACAGGAGTCTGTGATTTTGCTGTGCAGAGATACGCTTGCTAACAGAGACAGAGTAAATCTGCTGGTGTAGTGACCAAGGAGCTCACAAAGATCTGCCACTCACATTGTGATGTGGTTGGTAGTCATGGGGAGGAGAAAAGTGGGCTGAGCATGCTCTTTTCTCTGTGACTATGCTCTATTCTGTCAGCTCTGCTGCGTGGTTTGCTGGTGTTGGATGTCCTTGCAAAGTCCTGGCCATGAGTGTTGTTCCTCTGCAATTTCTTTTGCCTGTCAGAATTTTTGGGGGTGGTGGGCAGACTGCATCCTGGGGTGGGTTACACGCTTCTGTCCAGTGTGGGGTTCATTCATGTGCTTCTGCCCTGGCACAAGCTAACTGGAATCTGCTCCCAGACTGGTTTTCTGCAGGGTGTGATTGCCGTTATTCCTGGTGTAAGTGTTGCTAACAGCCCTCTTTTCTGTTCCTAGAGCACTAATGTGACTTTAATCGATCTCCCAGGCCACGAAAGCTTGCGGCTTCAATTCTTGGAGAGGTTCAAGGCTGCAGCCAGGTGAGGTGGTGGTGGGGCCAGGTGGTGTTAGTACCAGGGGTGGGACGCGTGAGGGTGCAGTGAGCCAGGTGGGGGTTCTGCTCTGTGTGCCCAGGGAGTCAGAGCACTGCCGTGTATTGCTGGGGCACAGTGTTCTGATCGCCTACTTCCTAGTAAGGTAGGGGAGGTAAGGTATGGAGGTGATGCACTGGGGAGGCTTGGGACGTGTAGTGTGTCCTTGGGACAGAGAGGAACAGGTTTCCTGCTGGATATCAATACAAGATGTATTTCAGTCCCCACGTGCTAACCTGCTTTTTGTGTTACAGAGGTTCATGTCTTACACGTGTTCTTTTTCTCAGGGCCATCGTGTTTGTGGTTGACAGCGTAGCCTTCCAGAGGGAGGTGAAGGATGTGGCTGAGTTCCTGTACCAGGTCCTGGTTGACAGCACTGTTCTCAAAAATGCACCCGCGCTGCTGATCGCTTGCAATAAACAAGGTACTGGGTGCTGCCCTGAAGGTGGAAGTGGTGATTCGGTCCTCCAGTGATTATTAGGGTTAATGCCCTGTGTGGCAGAAATGCTAAGTCACAGCCTGAAGCGGTGATGGAGCACCTGGTGGAAGGCAGGGCCTTCCTGAGGGGAGCTCAGGAATGCAATGCAATGTAATCCTGATGGAACCAGGATCCACCCCCTCCAGACCTCATTTAGGGTTGGTGTAGTTGGAGGTGAGGGTATTTCATTGGAGAGCCCTGCCTGCCTGGGGCCTTCTGAAGGTAAGCAGCTTTTTTTCTTTGTTTCTGTATCTGCAGCTGCTGCAGTTCATCTTATCTTCACTTGCAGAGGCACGAGACTCTGCTACCCTGCTGTCGTTGCTGTGTTTTCTGTCACGTTATATTGTTACACCACGCATGGTGAATTTCCTAGGGGTCAGGATTTCAGCAAAACGAAGGCAGACAATTAGTTGTGTAGACTCAGGCTGCTCAGCAAGAACTTTTCTAGCAGTGATTGGAAGAATTCTTCGATCAGGGGTCAAACAGCTTTGCAGAAAAGCACCACTTAAAGAGCTAAGGCTCTTTAGACAGGCTTAAGAGCCCAGTCTCTACAGCTTTTCCTGCAGAGATGTGGATCCCTGCAGGATGGTTTGAAACTTTCTGCTAGTGCCATGTTTGCTTTTCTAGCTTTTTCTTGCAGTATCATAGGAATGTCTTGGGACTTTAGAGTTCTAGAAAGCACTGTGCTGAGCTGTGTAATGCCAGGACAGGTGAGCGTGCTGAGCCTTGTTTGAAGTGATTTACTGCCCTGTTTCCAGACCATGAAAAGAAATTAATTCCCTGCCTTAAATCAGGTCCTGGGATTGCTCTTGTTCCTACCAACAGATCTAAAGCTCTTCTGTCCCTTATTCTAGCACAGACACTACTGCTGTTGTCCCATTAAGTCTTATGACAGCATGATATGATCAAGCCTAGCTGTACCTTTAGGAGCAGGAAGCAGATTCTGACACAATACCAAAGAGCTAATTATTTCCTTTTCTGTTTTCTCTCTAGATATCACAATGGCAAAATCTGCAAAACTTATTCAACAGCAACTGGAGAAAGAGCTGTAAGTGTGAGACTGGATCTTGAATCATCCTCTGAGCTTCTGTCTTCTCCTTTCTGTCTCTTCTGCCTGTGTTTAGTGAGTCCTTTGAGCATATCTGTGTTCACTGAATATAAAGAGAAGTCTGTTTTGTTTGTGGAGGTGTAATCAGGGTGAGGGAAGACTGTCACTGCTAAAGCACTAAGATCTAGTAATTGACAAAAAAGATATTGCTTCCTTGAAGCTGTGGTGTGGAGAATCAGTGCCACGTGGTGCCTGCTGCTCTTTGGTGTCCAACGAGTGTTCCTCAGCTGTCTTGTTGCTAGCCTCTTTGGCCAGTGGGTGGCAGCAGGGTGATTTGTACTGTTGCGTTTTCACTGCTGAGTACCCACCTTCCCTTCTGCAAGACAAAGCCCTGGGTAGTTTGTTTGTATCTGTTGTTTGTATCTGTGCCTGATGCAGCTTGACAAAAGCCATCAAACTGCAGTGCCTCACTACCCTTTTCAGGCTGTTGTTTGTCCCCATGCTGCCTCTAGTTTGTACTTTGTGGGAGCAGGGTGTCTGAGTGTGAGCAGTGAAGTTTTGCCTCTGTATAGGTAGCAGGTTGCTGAGATCTGCCACAGGATGAAGGGCAGGAACAACAGCAGTGTTGCAGCCTGGGGTCATTGGTCACGCACTGTTTGCTGGAGCACTGGGGAGGCTGGATCCACCTCTCAGTCTCCAGAAATATTTTGGCACGTTTAGGTGGCTATGGGGTGAAGATCTGCATGATCCCTTATGTCATGGGTGCCTGTTTTCCCAGTTAGCCTGTCAAAAAACAGTGCAGATTTGAGCACTGTGGGCCAAGCATCCTTTTAGCTTTAGGCACCTTCACTTAGACAAGCAGCTCTCACAGTCTGGGTTCATTCCCTGCCAATGGGAAGTGCCTTTGCCTGTTTAGAAGTTCTGTTTCCTTCACCAAACCCATGATCTGTCTTTCTCTCTTGAGCCTCTCTCAGCTGTGCCTTGCAGCAGCTGTTTACAATGAACAAAGTGCCTGTCCCTGCCTGTGCCTCATGGGGCAGAGACATGGGTGTGCTTCTGGGGCCTTCTGTCCCTGGTGTTGCTGATCTGCTGACAGCTAAAACCAAAGCATCTCTGGTTATGATGTAGGCTGTCATTATTTCACAGTTCCTGATCTTCTCTTTTCTCTTTCTGCAGCAACACCTTACGAGTGACCCGCTCTGCAGCCCCTACCAGTCTGGATGCCTCAGGGACTGGGGGCCCTGCTCAGCTGGGGAAGAAGGGCAAGGACTTTGACTTCTCTCAGCTGCCCATGAAGGTGGAGTTTGTGGAGTGCAGCGCTCGTGGCAGCAAGGGAGAGGAGGGAGATGCTGACTTTGAGGGCCTTGAGAAATGGCTGGCCAAGATTGCCTGAACAGAGGAGGGCAGGGTGAGAGGGAGAGACCTGAGGAGGTGGGGGAGTGAAAGAAAATAGATGGTTTGAAGTACTTGGATCTTATCATAGGAGAAACTGAAAGCTGGAAAAGCATTGCGTTGTCTTTCTCTGCTTGGGAGCATGTAACAATTACTGGTGTGATTTCTGCTGTCTCTGTCACAACACCACATTTTTTCCTTCTCTACTTTTTATCCCGTGTTGCTGATCCTGCTGTGGCTTCTGTATTTCCTTGAAATCTTTTGCGTTTTTCATCATCCAGCTGCCAGGCAACTTAGGAAGGAACATGCTGCCAGGTGAACCTGTAGTTTGTCCTTTTCTGCTTTGTTTTAGCATTGCATTGCTGTCGCTTCGTGGAGTGACTGATCACCTCCTGATTTTGACTTCTTTCTGCAGCTTCTTGCTGCTTGGGAGTGCTGCCCTGACAGTGTGCACAGATTCTCTCCACAGTGTAATCACTAGGGTGAATATAAAAAGCTGTTGTCCTCTTGTCTTCTATCTCCTTATTTTTCTAGACTGGTGTAGTCCAGTTTCTGTGTACCTGGAGTAACTTGTTGAATTTCAAAGGCAAGCTGTTTGATCTGCCTTTGTCACTGTGCAGTGCCTGTGGTGCCTGGGTCTTTTGGTTGATTACTTCTGCTGGACAGTTCTTGGGAGTTTTTCTTTCTGTCGGGGCTGTGTCTTGAAAGCTTGTTTCACTCTGTTCCTCTTCCTGTATTTCAGGCTCTTTTCCTGACTTTGTAAGCACACTCCCTGTGAATGACAGTTACAGAATGGTCCTTGCTTGAACCAATGAAAGTGGCATATTTTTGGATTCATGTGTATGTTAGGAGTCAGATTTGTCATGCTTGTTGTGTCTCCTGCCTGTCTCCTCTCCAGTGTCTATGATAAAGAGACCATTTTGTGTTTTTCATCACAGCAGTTGCAGCAAAATGAATAGAGAAAGGTGAGCTGATAGCACATTATCGTGGGCATGATTCTTCCTTATGTGGAAGATGCTCGGTGGAGAAGATCCTGTGATCTTTTCCCTGTTTGTTTGAGGTGATTAAAGCCAAATCTGCTGCTGTGGGTGATCTCATCAGTTAATCTTCAGGGAATGCCTGTTGCTGTAGCTCCTGGAGAGGCTCAGCTGGCTGCTCTGAGACTTGGAGCGGAGTCTGACTCGGTGTGCCTTAGACCTGAACTTTCCAAAGATCCTTTGCTTTCCTGTTTCTTTGCTATAGCTGGGAACATTGGTTATGTGAAGGGAGAACTTGCAGAAGCATCTGTATTGGTCAGGTGGGAGATGAGACCCCATGCTTCAGTTTTTCCTTTCTGAACAGCAACCTTAAGACACTTGTCAGTTGCCCTGCCCAGCAGCATGATGCTCTGGTGGGATGCTGGCTCCACACATCTCTGTGAGGAGGGTTGGTCTCCAGGATTCAGAGCTGGGAATTGCAAGGTCTTACTGCATTGAAGTTTTTCCTCTCGTTTTATTATTTCCTGTTTAGTTCTAGACAAGGAGCAAGCTTATGGCTCCCAATGGACCTTTTCTGTCTTTTGTGGGTTTCTCTCTCATTTAGTGCTTTCTTAATGGCTCATTTGATCTTTTCCTATGTTCTTTTCCTTTCTTTCTGGGCATCCTCTAACTCCTTGTAGTATTGCCAAATGTTAGTACTGATGGGAGGAACAAAAACAGGCTTGAGCAAAGACCTGTGCTCATAGTGGAGCTCTGACGATAACCTGGGAGATGTGCTGTTCCACATAGGAGGGGGGGAGGATTGTACTTAGGGAGTGTGTTACATTTTGGTATTTGCTGCAGCCGATGCATTGCTGAAGTGTGTTTGTTGTGCTTCAGCTCCCTTTGCTGGAGAGTATTGCTGTTTGCTTGAGTGGTAGTTCTGCTTGCTACCTTCTCTGAAAGCAGAGACTGAGCATCGCCATCTGGTGGGATAAAGTAGCATGAGGCCCTGTTTGGTTTTAAGTTATTCTTTTTGAAAAATATTTCTGTAATAAAGCATTTGACAGAATGTTTCTTCTCAACTCTTGGTTTGGTCATTCCTTATTGCCCTCTGTGGTGACTCTGCTTAGCAGTGTTAGGGTCACAGGGCTCATGCTGAGCTACCCTGCATGGCTCCATCCCTCCCCACCCTGTCTTGTTGCAGCTTCCCTTCATCACCCAGGCCCAGTTCAGCCCTCCAGACCCAGCTCTATTCCCCTAACTCAGTTCTATCCCATCATTGTGGCAGGGATGTTCCCCTGTGCCTGCCCATAGGGATAGCTCTGAACAGGGTGGGGGTGACCGACGCACCACATGGAAAATTGACCTTTATTTAAAAAAAAAAAAAGCAAACAAACACAACAGTCAAACCCTTTCCAAAATGTTCTGTACTAAACCCCAAGTGATGACTTTTCATGTCCATGCTGACCTGTACAAGAGGGATGGGCAGGGGCAGACAGGGAGGCCACCAGGACGTGGCAGCAATCTTGCTTGCTCCTATCCTGTCTGGAGGGCAACACCTGGCTGGATAAGGCACAGTAGAGCAGGACCATTGCTTGCATCTGTGTATGTGGGTCCAGGCTGGAACACAGCCCCCATCTGCTTCCTGGGAGTGCAAAGCAATGGGTGAGTCTTGGATGACCCACCTGGAGGAGCTGGTCCCCAGTGTGTCCAGGGCTGCATCCAAAGATGGGACCAATGGGGATTGTCCTTCGCTGGGATCACAAAGATGCTCTCTCCCCAGGCTGGGTTGTCATGAGAGGAGTGAGGAGCTGCTATGTTGAAGTTGCTCCATTACAAAAGAATGAGAAATCGACCAAACTCCCCAAAAGGCAAAGTGCTGGTGGTGGGGAATGAAGTGCAGTCAGTCTTTGTGCAGTTACACCAGGCCGGCCGCTTTCTCCTGCACGTTGTACTCCTTGCTCCTCTTCACCTTCCAGCCAATGAGGGCAAGGAGGATGGTGCCCACCACTTTGTATCCCACCTGCAGCCCCAGGTATCTGTGAAGAGAAGATGAGGGAGATGCCCTATCCGGAGGTGGCTCCAGAGGTCAGCTTTGGGGACTTGTCCCCATGGCAGCTCCGGGTGCCACAGCTGAGGCCAGGTACCTGTTGCGAAGGAAGTCATTGTTGTAGTAGGCACAGAAGCGACGCTGTGAGCACTGTTTCTGCCAGTAGATGCAGGAGGAGTCGATGAGGGCACCAAACATGGCTGGAGCCGGCAGCCAGGCTTTGGAGAAGAGAGGGCTGGGTCAGGCTCTCTGCCCTTCCTGCCAGCTTCACCTGCTGCCTCCAAGGAGGTCACACGCCTCCTGTGCCTCTAGCAAGCTTCAGAGTGCCCTGTCACCCCCCAGCCTCATCAGGAGGCAGTCACTCACCCAGCAACCTCATCAGCAAGAATTGGACGCCAATGGCAAATGACTTCTCATCCTGGTTCACCACCCTGCAAGGGAGAAGCCAGGTGAGGTCAGAGCTGATGGCAACAGTGCTCTTCTGGTTTCACTGTCAGGTTCATAGCCATGGACCTGGTTTCTCCCCCCTTCTTCCAGTTTGGAATGGAGAACAGTGGTTGAATGACCCCGTGGGGATTAGGAGGAGCCCAGAGAGCTGCCGGGATGAAAATTTGTGGGGATGCTACAGCATAGGGTTTTGTTCTTAATTGAGGTTGTACTCCATTCTACCTGATATAAACTGTAAGGAAGAGCTGAAATAGGAAACATTCTACTGTTTAGGGAATTGCCATATTTCATAGCCAGGGGTGTGGAGGAAGGGGTTGCTCTTCAGTAAGAGCACTCAAAGCATTAAAACAAGGGGGCTCCTGCTTATTGAGACCCTGCTGTTACTGATGAAAGAGAAACCTGCAAAACTTGATCAAATGGTGAACAACTGTTCTCAGATCCTTACGTAGCTGAAATTTGTCGCCCCACAAACTCCCCTGCCCACTGCTCACCGTAGCACCATCATGTAGAGGGGGTTGTGACACAAGCAGGCCACCAGGGCAGCGAAGGAGATGAGGAAGATGACAGGGAGGAGCATGTGGGAGCAGCTGAGTGGACAGGAGCCCGTCCTGGCAGAAGACAACCCACTACCAGCAGAGATCTGGGAACAGTTCCTGTAGATCTGTTGGAAACATTTGAAAACAAACAAACATGTAAAACTCCCCTAGTCATGCTGTGAGAGGGGTGGAACCCTGGCATAGGCTCCCAAGGGGGTGGTAGAGTCATTGTCCCTGGTGGTGTTCAAGAAAAGGGTAGATGCCACAGTGAGGGACGCGGTCTGGAATGGGCACAGGCATAGGTTGGGGTTTGACCTGATGATCTTAATGGTCTTTCCAACCTTAATGATTCTGTGGTTCTATGTCACCACACCACTTGATAAAGGAGCGATGGAAGCATCAGCTCCAATGATATGGCTATGGCATCCTGTTGGGTGTCCTGACCTCCTGCAAGGGGACATGCCACCATTCCCTACCCAGGGCTTTCCAGTCAAGGTAGGGCCTGCCTATCCTTCAGGTAGATCCAAGCCTTCCTGCTCAAAAGCAATTTTCCTAGGAGATCTTACTAACTCTAGTTTCCTGAGCAGCCTAATATCTGCTCTCCCATGACCAGGGTTGAGGTTTTGTAGCAGCTTTCTTCATTTTAAATTTGACTACCTCATGGTCACTATGGCCAAAATGACCACTAATCACCACCTCATGCCCAAGACCTTCTCTGTTCAGAAGTGACAGATCTAGAAGGGTTAACACCCTGTCCCACCCCTACCATGGGCTGGCTGCTCCCCACCAGCTCAGGTGCCCAGACCACATCCAGCCCCGTCTGAGCATCTCCAGAGATGGGGCACCCACACTTCTCTGGACAGCAGTGCCAGGGCCTCACCCTTTCTGTGTAAAGAATTTCTCCCTCACATCCAACCTAAATTTCCCCTCTTTTAGTTTAAAGCTATTATCCCTTGTCCTATCAAGTTGAAGTCAACAAGGGCAGTTGATCAAGAGGTCTCTCTTAGTTCCTTAAAGAATAATTCAACTATCTAAACGGCTCTACTGCATCCAAATTCCTACAGCACTGCTAGTCTTCACTGTGACAACAAGCAAGGTGCACTCATAGCAAAACCTCAAACCTTCTGGAAATTCTGTGGTTCTTGGCATGGCCACAACAGCTCAGCTTGGTGGCCACATCCTGCTCCCACTACTCACCACCTGTGTGGGAGCTGAGGAGTCAGTGCTGCTGTTGGTGCAGCCAGCAAAGCAGGGTGAGATGTACTCCACGTTGTTTTCTCCACACACCGGGTGAAAGATGTGCTGGGAGCAGTGGCACCCACTCGGTGCCTTAACCTGTGGCTGGGAACTCTGTGTTCTGCCAAAGAGAAAATAAACAAAAAATTAAAAAAAATAAAATAATAATAATAATTAGAAATAGGAAAAAAAAGATGTCCCTCCCCAGTCCTCTTCCTAGCTAGCCAGTTTCCCTGTTCCTATGTGCGCTGGGATGCTGCCAGGAGCAGGCTGGCCTTGTGCCAGACCCCTATCCCCTGCAGGTACCTCTGCAGTGTACAGGGAACTTAGCAGCCTGTAATTATGTTATGTCTGCAAACAAGTGCTCACACACTTTTTTTTTTTTTTTTTCCCCAGCTGAAAACTAATCAGCAAACGCCTGGAGAAATGTTATCTGGGCTCCATCCAAAACCGCACAAACAGATGTGCGAGGAGCCCCAGCTGGAAACGCCATCCAGACAACAACTGGAGATGGGCTCGCTTCCAGACAAACCTGATGACAGTGTGTAAGGCAAGAGGATAAGCTGAATGATCTGTTCTGTCTTGCCTCACTACCCAAAGGAGCTCAGCTGCTGGAGCAGCTCCCTCTGCCTGCTGCCCTGGGGGCCATCCTTGGGCTGGTGGGCACTGCCCACCTGGTTCACAGCACCTGGAGCCCAAGGGGAATGGTGTTTTCATGTTTCTGAGGGCTACAGCTAGGAGTGGTCAGAGCAGCTTGGGTATTGGACTCTTGCAGGTGTTGCAGAAGGAGAAGCAGAGGGGAGAAGATGACAGAGCTGGGACTGTGGGAAATGGAGAACGCAACTGTTGTTGGGAGGCATGTCCCTCTTGAAGTCTTTGATGAGAAGGAAAGATCTGCTTGGATGTGACATCCAAAGGGACAGTCCTTTGGGTGGGTTAGGCAATGCTGTCATGTTCCTGCTCCTCTCCAGCCAGCACAAGGCAGCTGCTGCAAATGGGAGCACTGACAACTCCACTATGGCCTTTCCCAAGTAGTCCCATGCCTCTCATATGGATTCATATCTCATCATGCAGACAGTAGCTCTGTGAGCTACAGAGCTTCTATAGGTTGAAAGATCTACCAAGTTCCCCAGACCCTACAGCTCCATGTTGCCCATTTCATGTGCTACACTGAACTGCAGAAAAAGCTGAAGGTGAGCTAAGGACAGTGGCTGCAAACATGAAATCAATCTCTGCCTTCCTCCAGCCTCCTTTTTGTCATGCAAGTCCACCTACCAGCCTCCCATTCCACCAGCAAACCCCATCAAGTCCAGTGAGTGCTAGCAGGGCTAATATTACCAGTAAGAGATGAGCACTGTGAAGCTAAGATGCCTTCCAAAGTATAGCAAGTGGCATCTGAGCTTGAGCTGAAGGCACAAAGTCTTGCTCTCAAGCAAAAAGCCAGTGAGGATGCCAACAGGGATAACAATGCCTCAGCAGACTATTGCATGATCCTGAATTAATATTATGTGCCATACAGACAAAATACTAAAATGCTGTCCAGGCATGAGTTTGTTGTTTTGTCTTATTTTAACTGGGTACGAAGAGCCCTGTCCCTCACTGTACCATGGGATGGGAGCTTTATTGCTGGCAAAGGGAAATGTGCACAAAAGTGCCTCGCAGATATGCTGACGGTGCAAATGACCTGTGCATGATGCACTTCACAGAAAGCCTGGGGTGGAGTCTAAATATCACTACAAAAACTAAACAATAAAAATAAAAAAAATGGGGTAGCAATTAATGGTTTCCACCCAGGCGAGCAGAAAGTCCAGTT